AAATAGCGGAACAGCAACTACCTGTCTTCCAAATAGTCAATCATAACCGTGATAGCTGGTAAGACGTGACAGGTTGCAGTTGTCTGCATCGACATGGGGGATGGGCAGAATGGAAACTATCCGAAGCGTGTTGCTCAAATCAAAGCCTCTATAACCTTTATATGATTATCCAACAATACCAGTTTTATTTTTGAATGTTTATATATTTCTTGTTTAAAAGCAACGGCACCCTGGCGGTCTCAAAGCGTGTAGCTCCGTAAGTTATAAAACTTACAAAAGTGGACACATTTTCTAGAATGCCCACATATTTTATGAAGAATAACGGAACCCTGCAACTCTCGCTTGACTTCTTAACATTCCCTTCTGCATCTTTACGCTAATTAGAAAACAAAACATCGAAGAATGGGGGAAGGGGATTAAAGAACGCAAGGCCTTACCCTCTCTTCGGATATTCCCACATATTGCGTGAACATTTATATTCCATTTCTGACGTGGAAATGTCTCCGCAGCTCACAATACCGCACTTTGCAAGCAGCTAAATCTCAACCTCTTTTCCATGTGCTCAGAGCACGCGCTCAGTGGAACGTTCTGCATACAGTCAGATACAGTGAGTGACGTCATGGTTTCGCCGAGCTGCCACAGGGGAGCTGAAACGCGTGTAATACAAATCCCACAGAGCGTGAAAGTTTGAAATAGAATAGCTGGGATTTTACGTCTGGAGGGTATTCACTACCATTATCGGTGCATATGCAGCATTTATCGCTTTAGGTTATGGGCGAATTTAACCATCGTTTTACAATTAGGAATGCGTTTAATTCAGGGTGGCTAGCGTTTTGTATAGTCCTATTAGAGTGCAATGTAAATCTCACGTGTTCAGGTATTAGGCACTGAACGGTCTGGCTCATTTTTCTCAAGGGTTTATTGCATCCGTGTAGTCCCGATCTTAATCTACGATCTCCTGATAGGGGTTTTACTCTGCTAGAACCCTACTCCACACAACGGGCGATGAACCCTTCTCTTGTGCATCTGTGTACACACGTCGCGGCTCTCAACATACAGTAATAAATTCGCTTAATGACCTTAAATGTATAATTTAGTTTTACTCATATTACTGTGCGTTTCCCATCTTTTTACCTCTACACCTTACGCGTGTAACTTGTACATGAACTCTACTTTAAAAAAAAAAGCTCTTACATAAATATTGTACTGTACTTCTTGACAATTGAGACTGAAAACTTGTTGGTTAGCAGCCTGTCCCTGACTCGCAGAATAGGGGCCCCAAGTTAAATTCTGGACCCGGGGTGCTATCTGCGTGGGGTTTGTATGCTCTCCCCGTGTTCCTGTGGGTTTTCTCCGGCTGCTCCAGTTTCCTCCCTCAGTCAACCGACACACTGGTAGGTTGATTGGCTTCCGTTAAATGTGCCCTGACCTGAGTGTAAGCCGGTGCTCCGGGCCACAGTGACCCTGTATTGAAAATGCGGTTGTTGAAAGCGACGTGATACTACCAAGAATCGACACACACTACACGCCGTGTGTATTGTTCATGTATATTTCAACATGCGAAAAGGGAGAACTAAAAAAAAAAAGACTAGAACTAAAGTGGTTTGAAATAGTTTCTTAATCACTTGAGAAACTATTCCAAACCACCCAGAAAGTTAAACCCCCCCAGTCCTTTAGAATTACAAACCTAACATCTAACTGCTGTATCTCAATTACTGTGATCCAAAGCGCGCAATCCACAAATTACACACTCGGAATGCGCCATCAAGTCTGTCAGTGCAGAGAGAGGATTGTGCACAATCACCTTGCGCTTTGAACTACAGTAGGTTACGGTCTGTGCGTATGCAGGAGGGGCGTCTAATTTATCACAATAATGCCATGTATAATTGAACAATCTATACAAAAGAACTTAGTATAGTCGCTGACCTTTATTTTTTTCAGAGGGAGGGGAATCGCAGCGTTTTTTTTTTGTTCTTGTCGTTGAGCCCGTCTTCTTAAAATTCCATCGCGACCTCCTCCCTGAATAGCAGGCGAAATAAAAGGATACATCGTGAACACATTCAACACAGAACAGTGTATAGAATAAGAAATTCATGTGTAAAAAAAAAGACATTCTCGACATTCACTGGTATCAGTTAAACTCAATGGACACGTTCATTTAAATAATACTCAGGGAGGTCCAGTTTCTGTGTAGGAAATGGGTAATGAAGAGGCTGTAGCCAAAGAGCACGCATACTGAAGAGTCTCTTGGCGAAGTTTTGACTCGTTGCAGACAACAGAGACATTACTTGTGCAGTCCGTCTGCGAAGTGGGAAACTTAAACTTGCCTTGGTCCAAACTATTTATGTAAACATGTCTTGTTTATTTACAGTCTCGATTCATCCAGTTTTGTAAATCTCAAAACAGCCGTAGTTTGAAACTTATGGTGTTTGAAGATAACCACTGAATGCAGATCCAGAGCAGTTCAAAGATTACAGTACGTATTTTACAAAATGTAACGCATCCAACGCAAAATATTGTAATAACACTCACAATCATGATCGGTTTTGTTTTGGTTATATTACACAAAGATAGCAGTGTTTTTACAACGTTGCTGAGAGAATCCGTCAGATATTTGGAAACCTAAATTTTAGCTCCAATTCAAAACTAAGCTTAGATTGTATGCATTAAAGACATAAGAATACCACAGAATCCCAAACTGACAAAATTAATGTTGCAGCAGCAAAATGTTAACGTTATATTTTGGCTGTGACAACAATGCAAAGAATGTCTCATTAAATTCATATTTATGTACTATGCTGCACCTTTTTAAAAAAATGTCATTGCATTACAGTCTTACAGCAGTACAGAGCGGGGTCACCTCTCAGTTACATTTGGTGCAGAGAACGAGGGGACTTCGTGGTTTTCTATTGGTAATGGACTCTGCTTCTGAATTGCTCCAGAATTTCACCTTAACAAGGCTGCAGGGTGTCCAAGGCCGCCTCTCCAGTGCTCTGACACTTACTGGCTATAACTGGTCAAATATACTGGGCAGGCTGTTAGTTTATAGATTAGTTGTCCTTGTGATGGCCATGCAATTAAGGTGTAGGGTTTTATTCCATGTATTTACTTATTATAAAATTATATTTTCCAGTATTATATGTATATAGAACTGTTCAGTTTGCTGTCCATTCTAGCTTTTGAAACTTTAAATCTTTTTTTTTTTCGTGCATGTGGTTTCTCAAATTCTGTATGCTGACTGATCACCAAGTGTTCCAGACTGTTCAACCTAGGAACAGGTTAGCATCTGTCAGTTTGATGGACGTTTATTTTCACACCCCTGTTGTGTAACAGCATAGGGTATTTTTCAAAATGGCTCTGGAGATCTCAAGTCCAACCTTTCAGCCTCTCTTGGTCAATAAGAACCTTTGTGAAATGCATAGATGCCATTCTGGAAGCCCTACTTTGGGCGCAGGGTGTAGTATTTTTTATTTATTCCATTTTAAACCAATCAGTCACTAAAACAAGACATTACGAACAACTATGTCTTCATTGGTACAGTATCTGTTACTATAAGGTTTCAACACGTGTTCCTCAAAGGAGGGAGTGGAAAAGCAGCCTGGTTGGAAATGAAAGACATAAGGTTTTTCCAAATGCCTTTCAGCAATTAACTTAAGGGAAACTAGCAATTTGTTTTCAACGCTATTCAAGTTATCATCACAACCCCTCGCTGGTAATGTAGAGAGGGAAAAACTTGCCTCACGATTTTGAGGTTACGTAATGATGTTGTGGTGGCTGAGAGGGAAAGTACGCTTCCTATGACAGCATACTCATATCAGAACAAGACACCTGAGCGAAACTTTCAGAAAAAGAATTTGAAGAATGGAAAGACAATTTTACTCCCTAACTTCCCATTTCTTCAGTGGAAGAAATTACTTAATTCTACCGAGGTGTAGTGTGTGTGAAATGGGTGTAATAAACAAATACCGTTCTTCCACTGTAAAAAAGTAGGTAACGCTATAAGATTGGACATCAGCCCGGGCTGGGTCTGACATTTTCGAACACTGAAGAGAAACCAAATAATGCCAAGATAAAAAACGGGAAGGGGGAAAAAGCAAAATCTACGTACAGTAGAAGCAAAAAGTATGTAGAGAATTGGAATGTAATGAATATTACCTGAGTTGTATAACAAGGGAACGTTGGATCTTCCCTCAGGCGGCCTGCCTACAAACAGTCCCCTCATAAATACCCTGCAGTTTGTTCTTTGAAGATACTGAAGTACAGCAGGCCTCAGGCATTCAAGGGAGAGTAAAATGGAATATAGCCCAAGCTACATCAGTTTGTATATATTAAATACATTAACTTCTCAAAAGACAAGGTGCACCTATCACATAGAAAAGAAAGCAGCCCTAATGTATACTGCAAGCAAGATTTATTGTCAGCGGCTGTTTCATTGTCTTTTCATTGTTTACCTAGAAAAGCCATTACACATCCTCCACTATTTACTTGTGGAATTATTCTATAAGTACCCTGTTCCAGTTAAGAGTATAAAAAGGGTTACAAACAGGTGGACATTTCCACCCATCTGTCCCTTTTCATAGTTCATAGCATAATGATCCTTCCCAGTTAACTCATTTTAAATTATAACCAATGGTTTTGATATACCAATTAGCCTGAAAGGGACAGAACCAGTATGTCTAAAAAAAAAACCTATCAGTTGATCTTAGGAAACACATTGTGAAATATTTATTGCAGAGAAAATAGGCTTGAGGCAAGCTTCTAAAGGTTTTTGATGCTGAGATACCCTAAATTGTAGTAAAGAATTTATAAACCAATGGCATAATTAACAGAGGTAAGCAATTCAGAGAAAAAAAAAGATGAAAGAACTGATTTTCTCATTGCACTGATCTGAAGAAGAGCAGATACCACTGAAACTAACATAGCACTGAATAACCACAACACAGATTGGAGATTTGTGACTCTTGTATTGTTACACAAATGAAAACACTATCAGCAAGAAGTAGATTCAACTATTTTATTGGGCATGGAAACCTTTTTCTACATTGTATTCCACCCACAGACATTTTCAACCATTACATATGAAAGTGACAAAATGAATTTGAAATTAGGGTAATTTTACAGGTGGTATTGTAGATTAAGGTATAATGAAATACTGGACCACAAAGTAAGAAAGCTTCCTTTCCAAAAAGAAAATGGCCCTGAGCTCACTTGTATAAGGGTAGTCACTGAATTAGCAAGAAATGCCAGAGGATAAGAAACAAAAGCAGCAGTATTTCTGCCTTCCTTTTCATGAAACAATTAAAATGGGGTCTAGGAGACCATGGAAGTTGCTCTATAAAACACTATTGCCTGGCACTTTACAAATTAGTAACTTAAAGGGTTAAATCCCTGACCAAACAGTTTTTGGAAATGTTAATGTTTAAAAAAAACAGACTTCACAAACCCAAAGTCTAATCTTTACACCCTTTTTACGGACTGTAGAGACAGTGAATTGTCATTTCATTTGACAAATAAAAGTCTGAAGACACTATGATCTAATAATTTTAGGAGCCAGCTCAGATGAATACACGAAATGAAGGCTCAGTACAAAGCAGAAATAAATAATCATGAAGAGACCATAGGTTCCAGACTTTTTATGGTCTACAGCAAGGTCATTTCAAAATATATTTATACCTCAGAGAAAATGATATGCCGCAACACTGCCTAATGACTTTCCAAATTATGATTAAAAACCGCAAGCAAACTACAGATTTCAAAGTGTAGCAATCATTTTCATTTTGTTCTCAGGACATTAATTGTTTTGGATATCAGATTTATTAACCAGAAAGACAAAACTCTTTTTTGCAGAACATTGCGGAATTCTTAAATAATTGTTTCTCACATTATAGTTTAGTTTAGAGCACTGCTCACGTTAACTAGAGAAAAAAAAATGAACCCCTAAATTTTCTAGGATTTTAACAAACTGTCAAGATTCACCTGATGTATAATTCTGACATTCTGCAATCCCTGGTCCCAAAAGTGAAAAAATGACAAAAGGAGGCTACATGAACGTATTGTTTCACAAGGCGTTGAAACAATTTCACTACATAATTCCACTGTTTGCACCAGTAAATATCCGAAGATTAAGCTACAAGTGATTCACAAGGAACCTACACTTTTTCCTTTTTACCTAATTTCACTGAGGAAATTTGCTAACCAGTTTTCACTTCCAGGAAAGTGAAGGTTCCATAGAAGGAATAAACAAACTAAGAGAAAATAAAAAATTGTATTTGGTAAGACTGAGGAGACCATTTCCATAGGCTTTTAAAAAAAAAAACCTTCTAAAGCTTCAGACTAGTCAGAACGATGGAAGGTATTTTACCAGAAGCACTTTTCAACATCTCACTCTAACCAGTACTTGACCTTTAAAAACCTTTATAAGACTATTTCCAAAACAAAGTTACTGATGGGTAAAAGCCTAACGGTGATGCCGCACACTGTGATGTTGTACCACACCCAGACTGAGGAATGTCCCAAAATAAACAGCCACTGTATCAACAGGCCACATCTTTGCCTCAAGTTAAGGTTATAAAAGCCATAAACATTCATTTTTAGTAAGTCACTAGCAGTCATGAGACAATCTGCACGAGACCTGCAATTCCAAGTAGCCACTGAATAATGCCACATTTTAATCTCAATTACCTTAATTCAAAGCATAGATCAAAGTATACATTCACTGCTTTGTGAAGTGCCACACGTTTCTTTAAACCTATAGAAGGCAATTCCTTCATACGCATTGCAAAGCAAATACATCCAAGGAACGTTACCAACTATGCATTATTGCATAGTACTTCAAAGGCAGCCTACAAGGTGATATTACAGTGCTTTCAATAACCTTAGAAACAAGCCTGCAATTCACAAGACAGATAAAACATTAAAAATCAGAGTAGTGCCAACTTGGTAATGCCCCTCAAACTAAACGTACTTACTGTGAAATACTTGAAGAAAATGCATTCAGTAAGCTAAAAAACGATTGCGGCACTTTCCTCTGTTATAGTGAATTTAATGCTGGACATCTCAGAAAGCCTAAATTTAAAATGCTTTTCTAATACAAAAGGCACCAGGAAGAGAGGAGCACATCCAGTTACTGAGACGCAACTCAAGTGTGTGCGCGCACGTATGAGTGTGAGCTACACTACAGAGGACACTTGCATTCCTAAAACACATGGAAGTCTGCCGATTTGAATGTAAGGGAGGGCTCTTCAAGGCCGTTCCCAGAGGACTGTACTGCTCTCGACCATTATGAGTTCAGTTTATGGCTTTACAATGGTTTTGAGGTACGCTGTCAATTAAATCAGTGCAGAAACTTTGAAATTAAGGTTAATGTCTCTACTTATAGTAGAATCTACCACCATAAAAAGGTTGCATGTAACTAGAGATGAAACTACATCCCTTCAGGAACTTGAACTTTGTAAAAGGAGGGAAAGGGAGACAGGATGATGCAGCAGTGCCTTGAGATCACATTCTTAAAACGATTCATGACTGCTACAAATCCCGTGCGGTCAAGTGGATTATGTACAGTACAGCTTTTGCTCCTGGACTATAAAGCAATTTTACCGTTTGATCTACACTGCAAAGCGCTGCAACCTTCAGAAGCAGGACGTCCCAAACCAGTCAGTGAAGGGAAAGATTTCTAAGCAGTGGAAAAGGCAAAGGGAAACTCGGAAAACCAAAAAGGTGTACAATTAAAACCAAGCAAATCACTTCAAGGTTCATAAAGACATGTATTTAAATAAGATTCAGAATCAAAAGAACAATTATGGCACAAGCCACATGCTGTCTGATGAAACCAACCCCAAGTATTCTAGTCTGCAAATTTTGCAGATGGCTTACATAAAAAAAACATTTCAAGAAAATGTTTATTTATATAGAAATTTTTTTTACATGATTTTATTTTTTTTTAAGAAAAATATTACTTAAAAACAATTTGTAATTTAAAAAAAAAACCTCCTCTCCACATCAGCTGAGGCAGTTTAACTTTTTGGCAGAGATTCAAAGATCTCCACCAAGGTTGTGTAGTTTGGACTCCCTCCTCTATCCCTCCCACCCCCCAAAGTCTTGAATTGTTGCATTTACATGCAATAGATAATACACAGCAGTCCTTCTAACATATAAAACACTAAACTGTCCTGAGTCCTTTTATAAGGACTTATATATGAGGGCTTCTGAGCTGTGCAAGCCTGTGTTTCAACTGTTCGCTTTTTCTCCTTAATTGTTCCTTCAGGGAAATGAGTCTCTGTTCATCTGCTTGCATGCTGAAGATGCATTCAGTTGCCTTTTTGAGGATCACAACTTTGGGTGCCTTTTCATTGTTCGCTACCTCGGGTATCTCGTCCCTCAACGCAAAGAAGCTCAGTTTGAGCTCATTCCGCCTCTGCCGCTCCAGAACATTGTGAGTCCGCCTCTTGTCATTGTCTTCTGTATCCGATGTCCTGGGACTCGTGCACTTGCGGTTGTTGCTGATTTGTTTGAGGACCCTGGTACTGGTTTCCAGCTTTATCCTCTTCACCGCCGGTTGCTCGTGCCTGGTCGAGGGGGGGGCCGCGTAATTGTGTTGGTGAATGGGGACGTGACACCTCTTCAGCACCAAGGGACTGTGGTGAGGTCTGTGGGACACGCCGGACTCGCTGCTTTCCGATCGCTTGATGCTGTGCCTCTTCTCCACCGTCACCACGTCGATTTCTTCGTCATCTTCCTCGTTGTCCTCTGCAAATGAACGAACAAAAGGGGTTTTTAACCACAGGGAGACTCCGGCCACCAGCCCATCTTCGTGAGGATTACGATCACACCTTTAAACACGCTTTGAAGTCGGCATTCCTCCCCTCCGCCCCGCCTCCTCCCCATCAGCTGATACTCCCCAACACTGAACTCTACCCTGCACTTCAGCGTTATGGCTAAAAACAACATCTTATGCAACTACCCATGACAGGGCAAACCGTTTGCAAATGTAACACGTTGTATTTCTTTAGCACAAAGGGCACCGGCTTCTCTGGAGAGCGTGGTACGCCTGCAAGGATCAAATTCGGGTGTCCCCGTTCACAACGAAGCACCTACACCCCGCCACCCGATAGAAAAATGCCTGTGTCACTTCACTACCCCGGCTAACCCTCCTGCTGCTGCTGCTGACATAGCGGCTTCATACGGTACACCCCGCAGGCTGCCTATCACGACTCCCGTCACTACAGGTTTAAATCCCCCCCCCTGCCTCCACTCCCCGAGAAGACAGCCTTTTCTAAACGGTCTTTTAACCGGTCATTTCCAAATTCAAGATGACCGACGCCCAGCGCGCGTCTCACCTGAGTCGCTGCCGCTGCTGCTGCTGCCGCTCGAGCTGCTCGTGCCCGGCGGCGTGTCCAGAGACGAGGGCAGCGCCAAGGTGCCGCCGGCTTTGGGGCTCTCGCTCATATGATACGGGAACACAACGGAGGGGTCAATGCATTCCGACGCGGAGGTATTGAGGTCCTGCAAGTAGGTGGCGTTCAATTTATTGCCCGGGATCTCGCAGGCTGCCTCCTTCCGAGCAGCCTGCAGGGACGCCAGCCGCTCCGACACCACCTTCTCCAGCTTGGCGGCCGCCGAGAAGCCGCTCCACATGCAGTCCTGGATGATGATGGACTTGAGGAAGGACTGGGAGTAGTCCGCGTCGCAGATGAAACTCTGGCTGACCACGTCGTCCCCCAGAAACTCGGTCACCATCTCCAGCTGGTCGGCGGTGGAAGGGACCAGGCTGGAGAGAGAGGGTCGCCGGCTCGGGGAGAGGGGAGGAGTGGGGAGCAGCTCAAATTTCTTCCAGATGTCTTCGCTGGGAGCCGGGGGCTGAAGCTGGCTGTGCTGCTGCTGGTAGAAATCCTCGTCATCGTTGTCAATGTAGAAATAAGGCTGGATGGAGTCGTAGTCGTAGTCGTAATTTTTACTCGATAGGCTGGAATTCAGCGGCATTGTGGCTGCCTGCGAAGGACGAAAAAAAAAATGTGAAAAAAATGTACATAAACAGCGATTCGATTTATCCCTATAGGCTCCCAGTCTAAAGCAGAGGTCGCCGTCCTAAAATACCACTCAAATTATTAAAAGTACGAGCCTTAAGATATAATAGGCAACAGTTAAATACTACAAGTCACCCAGATGTGATGTTAAAGTGCCAAGTTGCAAGGAGAAACCCCTCTAGCTGCGCAAGACGGCATGCCAAAAAAGCAGCTGATTCCCCAGCTAAGAAGTCAGCCGGCATTTAAAAAAAAAGTCACACTGACAAGCTACTCAGACGTCCCCTTTTTTAAAAAGCGATCCCACGATGTAGCAAGAAGCACCACCCGCATTATCAGATCCAAGATTATTATAGCACGTATATCGATAAGGGGGTGGGGACGCAAAAGTTTTCTAAATCGCCGTTCAATGCGCCTTAAAAAGAAACAAAAACCCTAAGACGCTGCTTACCGGGAACGAAAACGGGGAGGAGGGGGGGAGACCAAGAGGAAAAAAAGCAACCGGGACCAGCTAAAAGTGTCTGAGCCCAGCCGGTAAGCGCCAAGTGCAAGTGAAAGCGGTATTCCAGAGTGGGAGTCTCCAGCCGCGCGGCTCCGCAAGCGCTCGCTCCTGTCTGTCTGGCTCTGTCAGTGGGTCAGCCGCACGCGGGCAGGGGGCTCTGCGCCACAGCTCGTCATTCACTCTACGACGGCGAGCGGCTGCTCCCGCGAGTTTTAATACTGCCGCTGCCTCACCACGGCCAGTATCCCTCCGCCGCTCCCCGCTTTCGCGCCAAATTAAAGGTACGCAGAAAGGACGGGTTCTCGCCCCTCTCTTTTGGTGGGGTACCCCTAAAATCACAGGCGAGGCTGAGGCGGCGTGAAGGGGCTTCTGACTTTCCGAGCCCCCGGGGTTCGCTTTTTAAACAGGGTGGTGAGTTTTTCCTGGGACTACTTTACGGGAGTAGAAACTTTACGAATGGCTGCACACACCGCAGGTATAAATACGTCGGGCTGCTGGCAGCAGTGCTGTGTGAAAAGTGGTGGAGTGAAGTGTGTGTTTTTTTTACATTTTAGGGTTATAGTTTACTCCCAATACAATTTAAGAATATCTATGGTAGAAATTAAGACATATTTCAACTGCTTACACATCTTCATGTGTACGTTCTACCAATTTCATTCTGAATTGTGAATTAAAGGATTGAATTCGACGTGTTATTTATTGGCTGGATGTATATAGCGCCTTTCAATCCAGAGCATTTTTAGCAAAATACCTGATATTTCTTGATCGTAGCCTGCTCCAACATGCAACTGCATTGCGCACGTTTTAACATTAAACACATTTGCGGTGCACTGTATTCTATTTTATATTGAAGACAGCAGTCAGTAAAATATTTAAAAAACGAACCAATAAGAAAACGGTGTGATACGTTACGCCTCTTAAATTCACCCGTTTTACTGTCATTAAATATTGTTCACGATGCGTCAAAATTTCATTCGTACAGTAGTTCTCCAGAAGTCTCCGCACCCCCTGTTAACTGCATTGCACGTTTGCTATACTCCAGTTTAACAATTCAGTCAACAGAAGCAAAATGTGCATTTGGTGCATTGGAATTGAATGCGTTTATTTTTAGCATATATTTGGTGAGACCTGGTGACCAAGTATTACTGAACATTTTTCTTAACACCTGCTGGCAACTTATTTGGAACATTTTATGTTATTAAAGTGATGTCTCGTGCAGTTACCAAGTCCTTTTAAATGCCGTTAAATCACCGGGCTGCAGCCTTCCTTCAAGACAGCACAAAGCCTTGCTTCGGATGTGATCCTTTGAAGGCAGGAAAACACTAGCATGTTCACCAATGAATCATATAATAATAACAACAACAACCATTAACGCGCTTATCACAACCGGAACCTTTATTTGAAACGTTAACAATTTCCACTCTTTAATGACATTGGGTACACAGAGTAGTTTCCTATTTGTTCAGGTAACACCATTAAACGTTGCTTAATCAAACACTTATCCGATATGGAGCTGCAATCATAAAACAAATCGTTACCAATGTCAGCAATTTGTTATAATCCGACGTCAGATTCATTCAGTCTTATGGTACTAGGTGAAAGAAAAAAACCCGCCGTACTTAGGTCCGCCCAACATTAAAACGCTCCCGAATATTTTAATAAAATAATGTAATTGCGCCCTCTGGTGATAAAACTGGAAACCAAACAAAATAAGTGCTTTGATTACTGGAGCTCAGCCTCATAAGTTTGTATTATGCACTGCGGTACTGTTTTTCAAATAGAATGCAAAATGTCCTGTGTTGGATACCCCCGTTTTAAGTCATAAAAAAGTATTTTTTGATTTGTAATAGTTTTAATAGGTATTAATTATAATGTAGCCAAAGATTAACGATGGCAGAGCTAAAACATACAATACATGGTAACATACTGTACATGCATACTGTATGTATGCATAACTTGTTGGTCTTTATAAATTAACTATCTTTGGACTTCTTCAATATCATTTTTTAAAATTAATTAATCTCATGATAAGCAGCGCAGATTAATCCCAAGACCTCAGGGAGAGCTACGAATGAAAAATAAATCCAGAAATCATGATTATATACAGTATACTGTATACACCTGTATGGTTAAATCACGTTGCTATCTATATGGTTAAATACTATATACATTTCATGAAGGCTTATTAATAAAAGCAACAATAATAAGAAGAAATAGTAGCCCGATGATTATAAATCCCTTAACCAAATTAAGTTTTTCATATTTTTTTTATTTAGGTGTAAAAGGTGTGTGCTTAAACTATACAAATCTATACAAGATTAATTATCAAATGCACAACAATACAGCGTGCAGCATTTGATAAATAAACTTTGATTTGATTTTTGATTTGATTTGAAAAGACTTGTATAGTTTGATTGTAGCTTCTGTGATGTATTGCTGTAGGTTGTATTGAGTGTAGTCATTGGTCGTGTCCTTCTGTATTGTATTGAGTGTAGTTGGTCGTGTCCTTCTGTACTGGTTGTCCACTGGTGTGCAGAGACACGTTGGAGCTCCGGTACGGCATGAGACTCTTAGGACCGCGCACTGGGTTTAACCCAGGGGGAAAGGCTCCATTTTGTCCCTCTGAGCCGCTGACTGCGCCAGTTATGTTACTGCGAGCTCTCTTGTTGTGACTACCTGAAGACCCTCTACTTTTCTTAAGAAATGGAGCTGGCCATCAGAAACTCAAGAAAACATCTTGCTGCCGTTCGTTTTTACGTAACACAAATCCTTCAAAGGGAACCTCCGGGAACGTATTCACCATTCTTCTCTTTTGTTTTTCAAAGCAATGGGAGGCATTTATGTGAAGTTTGCAAAGTTTGCTAAAGTTCATAAAAAAACTAAAACAAATGGAGACAAACTGAGGACCAAACCTTAAAGGTGACGAAAGAGGCCCTAAAGCTTGTTGTAAGACTAGCTTGGGGGGAGAGAGTCCATGCATTCCGACCTCACGTGCCAGAGGTCCAGCTCCCGCCCCTTTCCCGCTCCGCTGTCGCCTCCGTCCCCTGTATCAACAGACGTGGCGCAGCAGGGCAGATACTCAGTGACTCCAGCACATGGGAAAACATTCTTCGGAGACATGGGGTGTGTTTCTCTAAACCGAGACACGCAACTTGCGTAGAGCCATGTCTGAACTGAGAGGTGGAATGTGCATCTGTAACTGTGATCACTGTATTTTCTAAATAACAGATACATAACAGGGTGTCAGTGTAACATAGTATTATTTTTTTAACAAACGAATTATTGAAAGTAAATAAAAGTTGCGCGTTTAAAGCTGGCCACTAAGTCAATTTAGTCTTTTTTGCATTGGATTTGCAGTTGGCTGCAAAGAGTCGTTATCTCGTATCGATAAGACAACATCGGCTTTCGTTAATGTCCATCTTTGAAAAACCAAAATCGCGTTTGAAGCAAGGAGGAATTAGGGCACCTCCACGTTTTTCTCACTAACCTGTGAGCTGCACAGGGCTGGATAAGAAGGATTGGATCAGTCCTGTTGTGTGCAGCATCAACACCCATGATACACACAAATAGACTTCCAAACAGAGTTATGGGCAGGTAAAAACGTGCTTTGCTCCCCTGTACTATACAAATACACAAAACAAAAAAAAGATAATATTTGGTGATCAAGTTTTAATGCATATAAATTGGAGCATGGTGGCACAGTGGTTTGGCAGTTAACACTGCTGTCTTAAAGCTCCTGGGTCCCATCTCGGCTGGGGTGCCTTCTGTGAGGAGGTTGCACGTTCTTCTGAGTTTGCGTGGATTTGCTCTGGTTTCTTCCTTAATTCTAGAGATATGCTCTCGGTGCCTCGAAATAATTTAATTTTGGGATGTCACAACTCCTACCAGGAATAAAGTCATGATAATGGATGGATAAAGATAGTATTTAATGTGTACCAATAAAGAGTACTTCTTTAAATCAGTTGTATTTTTGAAGTTCAAGTGAGGAGCTGTGCCAGCTGCACAGGGACAGGTAAAGATTAATTTCTTGCTGAAAAGTAGAAATAAGAAACACAAAAGTTCGTCTGCAGGGCCTTCTTCAGGTGTGTGGGACAGAGATGAAAGTAGCAGGGATATGAAGAGCAAACGAAAAAGCAGTTGAGAATGCGCACAGAGCAGGTGAGAGCAAGTGTCTGGACAAAGGGAAATGTGTGTGTGTGTGTGGGGGGCGAAACATTGAGATTTGTGACTGAATGGAGAGATTTTTAGAAAAAATAGTCTGTCAATGGCTTCTGGGAAACGTGGTCCTGGTGTGACTGTGTGCTTGTGTTTGTGTTTCTCTCTATCCTGCAAAGAGCTGGCGTCCCATCCGGGGTGTATCCTGCCTTACTCCTGTGGCCTGCTGGGATAGGCCCTGTTACCCTGTGTATTGGATAAAGAGGTAAGAAAATGGATAGACGGATAGTCTATCACTGAGAGAAGGAGGAAGGTGAAATACAAGTTCAAGGATAATCCTGACCATACAGTGTCCTCCATAAGTACTGGGACAGGGGATCCAAAATTGTTCTTTTTGCGGTATACTCAGAAAATTCAGATTTGAGATGAAAAGATGAATAGGAGACAAAAGTACAGAATGTCATCTTTTATTTCTGGATGTTTCTGTGTTCGTACAGTACGTTGTACTGTTTTAGAATAATAGCACTTTTTGGGTTCAATCCCTCAATTTCAGGTGAACATAAGTATTGGGACAAATAAGCGTAAAATAAATTAAGGCAGTATAAAACTTAGTATTTGGCTGCAAATACTTTGCACACAACAACTGTATCAAGCCTATCTTCCTCTCTTTCGACTCACACCTGACAATGGCTCAACAGCTGAACAGTGTTTTTACTTCTCAGCATGGGATTAACCTTTTCTTGTCCCAAATTTCTTTTGTCTGCAGGACAAAAGCTAGCCGTCTGAGAAGAATAAGCTCCACACTTTCTCCATAAATGTTCTGTATAAAACAAAAGCCTGTGTGAATGTGAATGTGTCAAAGCAATATTCTTTGCAGACCATTCTGTAGGAGTAGTTTGTGACAGCGGGAAAAACTATGAATTCAGTAGTCTGCAAAAAGATTAAACGAGTCAGAGACAAAACAGTTAGAAAGAAAAATGCTTTTTTTATTTTTGAAAAAGGTATGAGAATTCAAGGCAGTGTAGTGTAGCAAGTAGTTACAGAGAGTTCTCTGTATATATTTTAAGCAACCTTTAAGCAAAGGATAACAGCCTCTTTGACAGTGTTTATTAGCAAGAAAATAAAGTATTGGTATATCACAAAGCACTATAACAGGTTTGTGCAGTGATAAAACTCACTGTTAAAAGACTACTGCTCTTACAAAAAGCCCACATAGAGGTGCCCTCTCTCTGTATAAGACCCCCTCAGGGACAGCAGTGAAATATGACATCAGAGTATATTCTGACAGGAGCCGGAAAACAGACCGTGCCTTTATTTCCACTGTCTCCTGTTCACACCACCTGATATAAATAACAACCACCGTGGTCCAGAGTCCCCATCCCAAAGGTATAGGCTTAAGCACACAATCGCTACAATAGTATTTACAGTACTTTAAGGTGCAAACCTGTCTAGCAACAGCTTACAACTGCACCAAATAATATTAGTAATTGCTACCCTCATATTTGTTTAGAAGTTGTGTCACACGAGGAGTAATATATACTGTAGCTGGGAATGTGTGCTTTTGAAAACTGTCTCTCTTCCATGTGGAATATCTGAATATGTACTAAATACAGCATGCCTACATTAAAATAACTTGAACTCAGGCATGTGCATTTATAATTGTCACACCCGGGGGGGAATCTGCGTTTTTTTATTAGTGTCCACGGATTCAGATTTACGGGAGAAAGCATTCTCATCCCAAGCCATGACCCCAAACCTGGCTCTGTTTGCCCTTCGTAAACTCTGACGTGTGTAAAAATACATTTCAGGCAATCACCCAGGTAGTTTCTCATTCGTCTTCTCAGATTAAATAAGGACGAATTGAAGATACTATCCCCAGTTTTGTAATTAAAATTCACTGCGTTTTATTGAGTTAACCGCTGAAAGAAAGATACATTTCAAAAGCCTACCTGTCATCCATCTTTTGTCCAATAATTTGTTAAAATTCTTCTTATTGCTGCTGCACCTCATGTTGTTGCCAGCAGTGGTGAAATTCATCGTATAAGTAGTAATGGCAGTAATGTGAGGATCATTGTTGTGTACTTCACAGAGCTCTGCAGTGGAGCAATGTGTGATGAAATGAGCTGATAGATTTAGTGCTAGAGTGCTGCTAGGGTGCTGAAAAGCATGCAGCATCTGTCACTTACCGTAGTATTTAACACAGGGAGGACACATAAGGAAAGTGAATTTGGGTGGAAACTGAAACATGATCATGACCGGTATATTTGGAAATCCTCTGCCGCAGATGTATTACAGCCAACATCAAAATGATAAAAGAGAAGGGCGCACACTCTCTGCTCCATAGTAATTTACTACATGCTGTCAATATTTTGGTGCATGAAAGCGTTCATTTGGACATCATTTTGATTGATTTCCATGAGACTGTTACGTGTGTGCTCTTTTGTTTTTTTAATGTTCCAATAACCATGAAGACCTGTTGTGCTGGTTCTTAACAAACAGGAATCTACAATATCCAGGCAACCGAAAGCAGCTCTGGGAACCATAAACATTTGAAAGGAATATGCTGCTTGGAATCATGGGATATAGCTGTATAAATGTGTTTCTCCTGCTCAAAGCAATATTACCACCTTTCAAACAGGGGCGTAGCCAGAGGTGGGGGCACAGGGTGGCAGCTGTTAATTCTAAATATGGCTTTGCCACCATAGCTGCCACCCTGTTACCTAAAATCCCATATTGACTTAAATTTACCAACAAAGAAGAAGAAAACAATTACAACGCATCTTAAAATGGTTTTTTTTTAGAGTATATGTGTAGCCAATGTTATAAAAAGTTAGTGTTTGCAAATATGTGGCAGATTGTTGTGAAATGAATAAACAGAAACTGTCACCATGACCTTATGTTATATTGAGAATTGTGAGGTTTTTTGTACGTTAAGAAGTTCTCAAAATACAGTGGGAAATAACGGGCTTTGAGTGCCTTTCCTTGTGTAGAATGCACTTCAGAGTCGTGTCCGGTGTGAATACAAGCTCTGCACAAATCTGCTCTGATTTGATGTCATTACTGCCTCACCTGTGGTGTAAAACAGAGATTAACAGTGTAACTGGGCAAAGAATTCGAGTTTTAATAGTATATCCTATTTTAAGAGGCAAATAACCCTCAAAGGTATCTCTGCCAGCCCTTTGCCACCCCAAATATAAAATCCTGGCTAGACCACGGCTTTTAGCATGATCAGATGTCAGAAAGCTTAGTAAAGGTGGGACCAGCCCTTACTGGAATGGGAAAGGTCTAAGTAAAAATTAAACATGATGCTGCTGTAAGTGCAGATAGTGGACCAGTAGGTGGCACTGTTCCCCCTGGACCAGATTTTAATGATAAGACATTTTACTTACAGTAGGTGCAGAGTACTTAGTCAGTAAAGTTCACATGGAACCGTTTGTAAGAGCTGAGTTGAAATATATGTGTGACAACACCAAGCAAAAAATGGAGCAGACACAAACAAAACTGAATCTCATAGCTTGGCTTTGTGCATGAACACCAGACACCCAAACAAGGGCATAACTTTCATATCACAGGCGTGAAAGTGTTTTGGACCAAAACTATTCAATTGTGCAGCTATGGGATTAAAGGGAGAATGTAGAGAAAAACATTTTGTCATGTCCATAATTCACACTCATTTGAAGAGATTAAGATATTGAAAAATGCTCTCCCCAGATTTATTCAAGATAAACAAAAAAAAGCATAATGGAAGTTATGTTTATTTAATTACATTTTGAAGATGATAGACGATTATATCCTTTGTTCTCATATTTCTGCGTGAGCTGAAGAACAGGCCACATGATACGTTTATGAGAGGTGCCTCTAGGAAAATGAGAATGAACAGTTGGCTAGTTCACCATTAGCTAGAACTCAAACATTGTGGCAGATATGATGCACATTCACCACAGAGGTGTTTCTCCATTGTACCTATTAAATCTCTGCTGGATCAAAAGCATTGTTTGGCTAAGTCATTCCATGGAGACTTGACCCATTTTTAAATCTGGTGCTATAGCTTACACTTTTAAATCGTTGACCCTAGACAAAACCTTAAGATTTTAAGTGACCCTTACTGTATGGGAAAGAATCGCTTCAGGTTAAGGGATTGAGAGATTATGTTGACTACGCTGCTGCTGATGCAAAAATTAAAGAATGAATCTCCAAAAGATGCAATTGCCATTCGAATAATTACATTCCCATCACCAAAATGATGTTGTTCTCTCACGCAGACCTGAGAATACCTTTCATAATGTCTCCTAGGCTTGATGCAGTTGTTGTGTGCAAAGGATTTGCAGCCAAATACTAAATTTTCTACTGCCTTAAATTATTTTACGTTTATTTCAATTGATCACATGCATTTCCATTTACGTTTGCTACAGTAAATGTTATTACGGTATTATAAGCAAAATGTTTGGTCCTATTTTTAAAACAAGGTTAGTTTATTGTTGATAAAATAAACTGACAAAAAATGCTGTGGAATTTGAACCAAAACAGTAACTGGAAGTATTTCTCATAATTCAGTAGCCAAAATGTTTTGTGTTTGTTTTGTTTTGAAAAAAATATCTTGCTGTTTATCCATTAATACTTTGAAGAATAGAACGTGTGTATAAGGGCTCATTTTCTGTGTTGTCTGTTTTATAACATAAACATCCATGGCTCATAATCTCCTGCAGTGAATTTTTTCCTTGTAATGTGGGTGAAAATACTTTACTTTCATACCTTTACTGAATTTTACAACATATAAATAATAACTTAGTGAAACAGTTTTATTCATTTTAATTTATCCAAAAACAGAACAAAATCATACATGTACAATTCCACAGGTAGAGTGTATCAGGCATATTTGACAGTGTAAGTGAGTTTTATATTGTTAAATAAATCTAGACATTTAAAGTATTAATGTGCCCGTTACCGGTAACGTTAGCATTCACTGAGGTGTCGATATAACTGAATGGTGATCAGTTGAATTTCAGGGTCGCCACTCTTAATATCTTAAAAATAGATGTTTAAAGCTTCTATAAAATTTGATGCTTTATAAAGTTCTTTTACCAATTTTATGAGATTTTCATAGCCACCAGAAGTCCAAAGCAAAGTACTTCTAATGTTGATGGTATGTTGATGGTTTTTGGCTGTGTCTGCATAATGCCAGTTGTGTAGAGCTTATGGTGTCTAAGTGTGTGATACTGTAGCATACATGCTATTGAATGTTATCCACACCTCTGTACGTAAAATGGTACAGGAGAATAAATATATGTGTACATAATGTGTTATGCATAGCTTTGTGTGAGTGCAATACTCATACAGGCCTGTCAAATCCATTATCAGGATAGCCTCCATGTCTACAAATTGTCATTCCAAATAGAGTACCTCATTAATCTAATGATTCGGGGGATTTTTTTTTACATGAAAATGGTTATTAATTTTGGGGGGGTGACTTTCAGTATTTACAGTACCTAACTTTTTGGAGCTTGGAGAGAAGCATTAAATTTATCCAGTAAGCTAAGACTTCAGCTTGCGTAAAACATCAGGAGAAAAAGGAAAGCCCTCCAGGAATGAAACTCGACATCCCCTTTGTTAGGAGCTGTCTGAGGTTTGAGAAAACAATTAACGGTTGCCGAGAGTGAGACACATAAGACAGAGGTGCTATTTTGCTGTCTTTTCTTGAAGTTTTCTTTTTCCCACAGACCCTATCAGCTGCCTTTTCTTTGAGTTATGCCATCACTGCCCAACGCCCACTGCTGGAATTTCAGACACAACAGTCAGCTGTAAGTGGAAACTTGAAGATATGTCGGATTTTGGTGCTTTGATTTCCCTCTCTCTTTCTCTGACTTTGTTTCTATGTGTATCTTACAGTTCCCAAACCAGTCATTTTCTGCTTTCCCTGAACATATTTCTGCAATGTATTCATTTCCTAGTGGTGTCCCCAGCCCACTTCCTGAGGAATTTGGGGAGAGTGAAAATAAAACAGGCCAGTGGATGATAACTTTCAAAAGGAGCATCTTCTGAAAAACAACCACAAGAAATATACCCCCAAAATATCACAAGATCACAAGATAACAAAAGGTTCTCTTTCTATAAAGCCTAAATGACTATTACATTGCAGCTGTTGATGCTGAGTAATAATAAAAAACTTCCAGTTTCCGATGAGAGCAAAGATTCATATCTGTCATGTTTTCAAATAACTGTTGTCCTCCCTTTCCTTTTAATAAAGAGTCAAACGTAAATGAACAAAAGAGTAAGCTTGAGTTTTTTTTACCTTTGCTTGAAAAACATTTGTAATTCTGACTTTTTATAGATCTCAGATTCTACTTATTAAAACCCAAGTCTACATTCTAAAACATCTGCCCTGAGTGTTATATTTACCTTCATTTTAAAATAGGGTATAGGACACACCGAATTTCTCAATTGTCTACTATTCTGTGTAGCAGAGAATGAGGTACTGTTACTATTGACCCTTATTACAAAATCAACGTTTCCTGTAATGTCCGATTTGGGACAGATCTGCTTTTCAGCTTTGCAACATTCTTAAAAAGAAAAATAGGTTAATTGGAAAACCAAATTATATGATACGTTTTGTACACTTCACTTAAAAAAGCAGCATTAGTATGAACATGGGAGGCACTTACAGTAGATAAGCATTGCTAAATTGCAGCACTGGGGGCTCTGATTTCAATTCCTGGGGTAATATATGTATGGAGATTGTACAGTATGTTAACCCCCTGTTCACCTAGGGAGAGTCCAGTTCTCTTCAATAGTGAAATAAACCAGCTCAGTGCAGGTGCCTCTGATTTATCTAATCACCCTGTGCAGAAAGCACACTTATTTGATATTACTTTTGTTTTCGGAGTATTTACTTGCTGCCCTCAGCAGTCTGAACCGAGCTCATCACTCCAGATTTCTGTGCTGCATCACAGATTAGAAGCATTTGCCATCCTACTGTACTTTTCCACTGTAGCAAAGGAAAGGCGTCCTCAACCTTGCATTAGAGGAAATAACATTGGAAGCAGGAGCAAAGTTTTGCCAGCAGGAACTTTTAATGCACATCCTCCAATAATTTTACAATTTCTTCTACACCTTTTTGGCTGGTGAAAAATACTAACAAGCAGTTTTACGTCTAACCGCAAAGTGAAACATACAGTTGTAAAGAAATGCAATCTCAGCTATTGCTCCTGTTTGGTTTCAGTCAAAACCACTTGTAGTATCGTGTGTTGGCTGCATTAATTGCCCATTTCCCAAACAGCTCAGGCTAAAGCTTTTTCACCCAGATGGGCTCAATTTCACATTGGTTACAGAATATGTGAGATCAAAGAAAGAAAATCAAAGTCTTGTTTGAGGTTTTGGCAAGACTGACTTTTCAATTATGTGTATTTAATTGACATTTATAACAGGAAAGGCACATGAGTCAAATAGCAACCCGGATGCATTAAATTCCCGATGGTTTTAAACTGCCACTTTTACTGAAGTTAAAACGCATTGCAAAAGAAGGTATTTACAACACGGTTCTATAGTATGCATATGTTTAAGTGTGTAATCAAGCTGTGTACTAATTGAATGTTAAGAAATAAAATTATTTAGTGTGAAACCCCCAAAAAACTTTCAAACCACCAGCTAAATGTGTCTGTACAGTATAGATATGTACAAGTAAAGAATTGCTGCTTTGCAATACAGTTGCTTATCAAACAAAGTAGTGTTGAAGAAGGCTCCACAGCCGAAACATTGTGTTTCCTTTCTTTTCTTTTCAGCGTGGAATAAACCCGTTACCTGTTCCTCCAAAGTAGTGTTGATATGCACAAAAGTGATTAAAAATCGGCAAAAAACGTTTGCTTAATGTTATAAAAAATATGCAAAATAAATGTCCACATTATCCAATCTTTTAGTTGCGCAATTCTTTTGTTTTTCAGATGTGTAGCACAACTTGTACAGACTATCACCAGGAACATTACAGTAAAAGCTGTATGAGGGAACGTTTCGATTTTTAGGCTTCGATCACCTAAAAAAACAGCCTTTGCATCACAGTTCTGGAAGCTGTTGGTACAATCACTGAACAAATAATTCTCTTTGTAAAATCATGGGAATGTCTTGAAGGATTAAGTGCTTTGCACTGTTCACTAAGATTGAGCCAGCTGTGATCCCGTGATCTTCCCTTTTCAAATAGTCATTTTAATGGGACAGATCTGATTAAATCAAAACAGTTATTTTGTGCAGTCCAACAAGTTGTATTTTTGCTCATGTGATCAATATACATGATAAAAAGAATTCAATATGTTTATATGCAATCACTTGGTCATTATTAGAACACAAAATTGTTTTCTTGGGTTTAGCCCAGTGATTTCGTGTGACCTTGGATTTGGGGATTTTAATACAAATGTGTAGTTTTACACCTGAAATGCAAATTTCAGAGCGTAAATGTCAGTGTCTCTTTCAGGAGAGAAATCCGTCAAATCTGTGATCTGTTGAGCTCACCAGTTTCTGAAACAGAATGTAGATTATATGGCCCTTGTCATTCATATCAGTCTCATGATCACAATTAGAAATTGCTGGACAGCAAAGCAAAGTAACAGCTATGACTTTGCTGTTCTAATGCTTTTGGAGGACATTATATAGTATAAACCCTAATTTGACACCTTGAAAACATCCCAGTTTAAGTGGTACCAGATTCTGAACAAGTGTCCATTCCGTGAGTTGAAGTGCTTCATGGATCCACTTTCAGACACGTGCTGACCGACAGAAGACCCATGTTTAGTAATGAAATACATTAGCAATGGTAGAGCTCCCACTTGGCTGAAATTTGGAACTATAAATGGAGTTCAGTCCCTTGCCAAGCCAAAGACTGAACTCAGGCAGGGAATCCTAGCACTCGAGTTGAAGTGAAACTTAATATACACTGAAAGTACACTATGAACTACAAGACCACACTGAGACTCTGGGAAACAGAAAGTGTAGCACTTTTTATTAGGAGATATTTTAGGCTCCATGCTGTTCAATAATAGATTAATATATTGGGAAAGAAACAGCTGCTGGAAGTGTGAAAGTGAAAACTGACGACAGCAGAGGAGTTAATCAAGAAAAGGAGATGTACATCTTAATATTGTGTTTTAATCCCGATCACCAGATTTTCTGTTTATTTTTTTAGTTCAATATAGAATGGACTATTTACGAGTACTATTAATGTATATGCTTTTGGCAGAAAAAGTGAATTTGTTGAAAGGTAAAAAACAGCTTTAAGTATAGTGTTACATGCACTGAATACACACTGACACAGTATACTGAATGACACATTTCAAGGTTTTGAGAGATGTAAAACTGTAACAGCATACCATTAGAAACAGTGCTGTGTATGACACCTGACCTACAGTAACGGCTGCAATACAGTCAGCGAGTTCAGGTCAGGTGTCATATTTAGCACTGTTACTTATGATACAATATGGCAAGTTTTCTGGACTCTAAGGTGGTGGATGTTGTCATATATTTTTGTGTAATACAGGCTCACTGGTTACTGTAACCATAATTATATATATAAATATTTTCCCCAGATATACTGTAAACTTTTGCCAATATACCACAAGTTTCTGAACTTTCTGAAACTATTAGTAATGCTAAAATATTATAATTATTATAAAGAGGGGAATATAAATTGCCTTCTTTTTTAAGCATATTCTAGCCTTAATAAGTATTTCAATACCTGACAGCTGACAGAGCTGTTTAAATATAAAAGCACACATGCTGCAAAGCACACTGGTATGGCTGAGACAGAATCACTGGGAGATCTTCTTCCTGGTGTGAGAGCACCATCTCCTGGTCTAACAGCGACACACAAGCAGTGTAAAGCTCAGAACAAGACGGGCACTTCTAAAAGCAGGAAGGGGAATGGGTGACAGCAGTGCAATGCAATTGCCGATACTCTAAGTGAAATCTGATGTGCCTTGGTGGGGATATGATCAGAGAAATAAAAATGCCACAGGCACACGATTCCAGACTGCCTCTGCAATTACAATTGTAATTAATCATTCAACACATCTAAAAAATCTCTATCAGCAAGACATGTCCCTTCTACAGGATTGCCACAGTACATGAGTTACACAAATCCACAAATTGCACCTACAGTATAACATCACCAGTATGAATAGAGCACATAGCCCATGAATCTCTGCACAACAACCCCCTCTAGTTATAATAAACATCACACACCCCTCTCCCTCAAAACCCTATTTTCTAACACACCTCACAGTTCAGTATTACCACTTCTGAAACATCCATCCATTTCCCAACTGCTTCACCCAGTATAGGATTGTAGGGCAAGAAACACAGAATCACTATTGTAAGTATCCTAGAGTGCATGCCATAATTTAATGGTAAACTATAGTTCATGATTAAAGACTAGACTAGAACAACTTTGACTTTCATTTCACATATCCTCACATCTCATAATAAAGAAAAACGTAATAGTCAATAGCAAGTTACTGTGTGACTGTAGCTTTTAGAAACTGTTCAGGCAAGCTCTTATGGATGAGATCATAACACTCTACCACTTATAGTCATGACACCACAGCCCTTTACTGATACTTACCTTTATAGACTATAGTTAGCAGTAGCATTCAAGGATGATGTGTTCAGAGATGTTTTAGTACAAAATGCATGCATTAAGAGGCTGTAGGTGAGCTTGCTGTTTTGTTTCATGCACTGTATATTGTGGAGTATAAGAATGAATATTCACGGCACTGTAACATATTCAACATCTCTGAATCTTGTCTTTAAACGTTGTAAATGCAGAGGGCTAATTCTCCCTCAGATAATTAATTAACGAAAGCAGTCTCACCTGCTTTTATAAAGTCACAGTATGTCCTCTGGATCAGTCCATTCAGAATCAGTGACTATTAAAATGTTTTGTAAGAGTTCACAAGCAGCATACAAAACATCAATTCAAAGTGAACTCTGTTGACTTCTTAAATGTTAACTTTCAAGGAGACTTCACTGGTCAAAGTATTAAGAAATTGCTGTTAAATTACCAAACTCTTTCAGTGGCAGGTGGCGTTCATTTAATTCCAGGTCACATACTCTGAAACGCTGTGCCACAAAAAAACAAACTAAAAAAGTATGCAACAAAAATAGGACTTAAGGTTCTGAGATCAACATAGTCCTGACCAAGTTGGTTTTTTTATTGGTATACATAATCAATGACTGATTAGTAAAAAAATAAAACATTCGGTAA